GGGGGGGGTACGTGTTCCATATGGGTTTTGCAACGTTCCCCAACACCCCCCCCTCTGGGAGTGGAGGACACATATGGGGGCCTTGAGGTTGGGTTGGGGGGGTTTGTTGGGTGGTGATGATCTGCTCGAGTCGTTTGGACAGTCAGCTGACACCCCGAGTGATAGTTGTGCTATCTCGGAGGTCGAAGCAGCACAATCGAGTACAGCAACAGTGTAAAACGGCTAACGATGCATTGATGTTGTTCAATGTATCGGGAAATCACCCGCGGCGCGGCCTCTAAAGTCCCGCTAGACTAATGCCTCGGCACGGTTATGTGACATGAAGCGGCGGCGGCAAAGCTATCTACAGGAGAGGAGACAAACTCTCACAGGGCTCGGACGGAGGACGGCTCCTCTCCAAAACTGAAACCGTCCCATGCCATGCGGGCCATGACGACGAACATCGAAACAGGGCCACAACGGCGCAGGTTGAGGGCGGCTCCACTTCAGGACCACGCGCTCACCCCAGAGTCGCGCACCTGACTTCCGATCTCCTGCCGGATACACGGCTGGAAGGCGCCTTCCTCTCGACACACAGACCGTACCGTGTCATGCATGCTGCGCGGTCGAGCCCCGACACGGCCGCAGACGCGCGCTCCAGAAGGCGCGGGCCTGTCACGGCGCAGGCCCGTGCAGCTCGCGTCTTTCCCGCGGGCGCCCGCCGTCGGGAGCAGGAGGAGGAGGAGGAGGAGGAGGAGGAAGAGGAGGAGGAGAGGAAGGAGGAGGAGGGGAGGGGGGGGAGGGGAGGGGGGGAGAGGAGGAGTAGGAGGAGGAGGAGGAGAGGAGGAGGAGTGGGAGGAGGAGGAGGAGGGAGGAGGAGAGGAAGGAGGAGGAGGGAGGCAGGAGGAGGGAGGTGGAGGAGGAGGAGGGAGGCCACTGGATGACGAGGTGTGCTGCAGCCTCGGCGATGTGTGAGGAGACTGCTCTGGCCTTCGCCCCCTCCTCCTCCTCCTCCTCCTCCTCCTCCTCCTCCTCCTCCTCCTCCTCCTCCGCCTCCTCCTCCTCGCCCTCCAGCTCCTCGCGCCCGCCCGCTATCTCGCCCTTTTCCCGGGTCCGAGGGCCGCGCTACACACATCAGGAAGAAGCCGACGAGCGCCACACAGCTGCGGGCGCGCGGCGGGGAGGGCAGAGGGAAGAGCGAGAGGGGGAGTTGGGAGGAGTGGTTTTTCCCTAGCATCCTGTGGTGTTGGGTCCTCGTTTTGAAGAGTCGGTCCCCGCGTTCCTCTCCTCTCCTCTCCTCATCCTCCCCCCCCCTCCTCCCTCTCTTCCTCCCTCCTCCCGTCACCCCCTTCACTTAGGCGCACCTCTCACACGTTTCGTGGCCCCATAGGGAGCTCCACCGACGGCCCCAGTGCTACCGCCCGCATGCGTCCCCCGCACCCATTTCGGCACACTCCTCACACGCTTCGTGGCCCCATAGGGAGCTCCACCGAAGGCCCCAGTGCCACCGTCCACGTGCGTCCCCCGCACACATTTCGGCACACCCCTCACACGTTTCGTGGCCCCATAGGAAGCTCCACCGAAAGCCCCAATGACACCGTCCACGTGCGTCCGCCGCATCCTTTTCGGGGCACACTCCTCACACGCTTCGCGGCCCCACAGGGAGCGCCACCGAAGGCCCCAGTGCCACCATCCACATGCGTCCACCGTACCCATTGCGACACACCCCTCACACGATTCCTTACACGCTTCGTGGCTCCATAGGGAGCTCCACCGCAGGCCCCAGTGCCACCGTCCACTTGCGTCCCCCACACCAATTTCGGCACCCCCTCAAAAGTTTCGTGACCCCATTGGGATCTCCACCGAAGGCTCCAGTGCCACCGCCCGGATGTCTCCCACACCCATTTCGGCATCCCCTCTCACACGTTTCATGGCCCCATCTGGGAACTCCACCGAAGGCCCCAATGACACCGTCCACATGCGTCCGCCGCACCTTTTTCGGCACACCACTCACAGGGTTTGTGGCTCCATAGGGAGCGCCATCGAAGACGATATTCAAAATTGCGGTTCGCACAATTGCAAATGGTTGGGTCCTTCGCCAGGTTATTTCTTTGTTAGGGGGTGTTATTGCAAAGCGCGGCCTGTCCGATAACTCTTACTATCATCTCGTGATGGCGCCAGACGCAGTTGCAACTTGGCTTGACAAACAATTATCCTAGCGAAGGACCCGACCATATGCAGTTGTGGGTAGCGCAAGTGTGAATATCTTCTTCGGTGAAGCTGCCTATAGGGGCCACGAAGCGCTGCACTGGGTGGGGGGAACGCATGCGGGCGGTAGCACTGGGGCCGTCGGTGAAGCTCCCTACGGGGCCACGAAACGCTGTACTGGGTGGGTGAAAATGCCAAATTGGCCGTGCGGGACGCATGCGGGCGGTCCCACTAGGGGCTTCGGTGGAGCTCCGTATGGGGCCACGGAGCGTTGTACTGGGTGGGTGAAAATGCCAAATTGGGTGTGGGGGACGCATGCGGGCGGTCCCACTGGGGGCTTCGCTGGAGCTCCCTGTGGGGCCACGAAACGCTGTACTAGGTGGGTGACAATGCCAAATTGGGTGTGCGGGCGGTCACTGGGGGCTTCGGTGGAGCTCCGTATGGGGCCACGAAACGCTGTACTGGGTGGGTGAAAATGCCAAATTGGGTGTGGGACGCATGCGGGCGGTCCCACCGGGGGCTTCGTTGGAGCTCCCTATGGGGCCACGAAACGCTGCACTAGGTAACTGAAAATGCCAAATTGGGTGTGCGGGACGCATGCAGACCGTCCCACTAGGGCCGTCGGTGTGGCTCCCTATGGGGCCACGAAGCGCTGTACTGGGTGTGCGGGATGCATACGGACGGTAGCACTGGGACCTTCGTCGGGGCCCCCTGTGGGGCCACGAAACGCTGTGCTGGGTGGGTGAAACGCAGGGAGGAGGGAGGAGGGGGCCACGAAACGCTGTACTGGGTGGAGGGCCATGTGGACGGTAGCACTGGGACCTTCGGTGGGGCTCCATATGGGGCCACGAAACGCTGTGCTGGGTGGGTGAAACGCAGGGAGGAGGGGGAGGGGGAGAAGGGGGAGGGAGGAGGGAGAGGAGGAGAGGAGAGGAGAGGAGAGGAGAGGAGAGGAGAGGAGAGGAGAGGAGAGGAGAGGAGAGGAGAGGAGAGGAGAGGGAGGAGAGGAGAGGAAGAGGAGAGGAGACGCCGGGGCACCGTCTCTCTCAAAACGAGGACCCAACACCACAGGATGGCTGGGAAAAACTATGCTCCCTCACCCAGGCAACGGTTACGGGGCCTGGGCGCGCTTTGGTTGCGCTGGTCCTGGGCTTTCCATAAATGCTGGCTCATGTTGAGGGGACGCAACGGTGGGATAAACGCAAAGGTGGGATCAGATGAAAGCCCAAAGCGGCCAACAGAAAAGGGAGCTATTTGCATCCAGCTGGGTTCGTTCCCTGACCCCACATTGAGACAACCCTCCCTCCACGAGCCCCCTGGTGTTGGGCGAATGCACTCGAAACAAATCAGCTGTCTCACACCCACCTCCAATGGCCCCAAAACAGGGCCACGCGATTCATACATATTACGTATATACCGCCCCCGGCTAGGCCTGGTGAATACGGCTGGTTCCCGAAACTCTGCACCTACAAATGTTGCCATCTCTTGCTTCCGCCGGCTTTCCGCCAGTTTCCGGACGGGCGGCGACGGGGCAGCGACGGCGGCCAAATAGCCACCAGACTGGCAGACAAGCCCAACTCCTGAGAAAAGAAACAAGAATCCCTAAGTACAAGCGCTAAGTGAGGAACATCGATTGCACCGCGTACATTGCACAAAATAGGTTGTACCACTAAATTACACGGCATACAGCGCAAAAGATGTATTGAACAACATAGATCGCAAAACAGATGTTGCATCACATAGGTTGCACAACACGAATTGCACGGCATCGATTGCACAACATATACTGTTCCACGTACACGGGCCCACATTGATACCACACCCTGTTTTCCTAGAAACACACGGTGTGGGGTCGACGAAGGCCGATATTCTCGAAGACAGACATATATATATATATATACATATATATATATTACGTACACACATGCATGCACATCCACATACATGTATAGACGTGTTGTATACGATGTATTATATATATATATATGCGTATACACCTATATTGAGTGTGTATATATAATCATGTAAAAAATAGATGCATGAACATACATCTGGCGTATAAAACACTGCATGATGAGAATGTCGAAACCAACTGGCTCCCCAATGCCACCGATCGCAAGACAGCGCGACGCATAGCGCCGCTGTGCTCGGCGGAACGCACGACGTCAAAGAACCGCCACGTCACGTGCCGAAGCGTTCTCGGCACATCACGTGCCGAGGCGCTCTCTTGCTTCCTGGCTGCCAGCCGAGCTTGCCTGCTTTCCCCCATCATGGCACACCAACCGGCAACTGCTTCTGGGTGGGCTTCCTTCCCCTTGGCTCCCGATGGCCTCCCGCTGGCGGAAGCCGCCCTGCCGCTCTGCTCCCGCCACCCTTCCGCCGCCCCCCGCCTGGCGAGAGGCCAGCTTCACGACGCCAGGCAGGCGAGGCCCCTCCCTCTGGAGCGCAGCAAGAAACAAGGAACGCCAAGATACAGATTCGGCAACTTTGCATCATGCTTCTGTTGCGCGCCTCTCCGCATCAGCCGCGCTAGCCCCGGGTACTCACAAGCCCCCAGACCCGCGACCGACAACAGGTCCCTCCCGCAGGCAGTTCCTCGGGCAAGGCTTGCATGCATTGGCCTTGACACCGTGTTGGAAAACATCGAGGCCCCTTCTCATGGAGCGCAACACGTGCGTGGCGGGATGAAGAGCCAAAAGAGGACTGGCAGGTAAGGAAGAGCCCTGGCGCCGCCTTCTGAAAACAGCCATATTGGAGTCGAACCTGAGCTTATCCTCCTCGAAGGGTATGAAATTGTCGCAAGCGGCGCCAACCTTGTGCTGGCGAGTCGATGGCACGACAAGGAATGGCAGCCAATGGTAAAAACAGAAAGAGCCCACGAGAGCGGAGGAGAAAGCGCACCCGCCTGCCAGGCACTCGGAGAGGAGTCACAGAGGAAGCACGTGCAGGCAAGGCGTCCTCGAGCAGCCTCAGGGCGAAGCTAAAGATACAACTGCAAGGCAATTAGAAAACGCCATCCAGCACTTAGAAGACACCAGAAGACGCCCGAAACCACGCCAGTGATGCCCAGAATTGAAGGATGCAAAAGGCTCCTTGCTCCTTGTGTTCATCTTTATGGACGACTTGGACTGTACCGCAGAGACTGGAACGCGACAACCCCACCTCCAGGTGGCATCATATGCTCTCCATTGGCGGCGCGCCTGGGGGGGAAAAGTCTGGGCCTTCTGAGACGTTTTGCAAGCCTTCCCGGAAGGCAGAACAAAACCTCTCAGAAGGTGCGAAGGCTTCTGAGAAGGCCCGCCGCCTTCTGAGAAGGCCTCCTCCTTCTCATTTCCCTCCCTCTCTCGCCGCCGACTCCAGGAGCACGGCAGAACCTGGCTCGTGGATGGTAAGAGGGCCCTCCGACGTCGTGCTACTTCCACGACGCCAGACGCAGAGCTCTCGCCCACGTCCCCCGCGACACTCATTCCCTCGTCTTGCAGGTCCCAGGGGGCCCCAAACCAGCCCCTTGACACAATTGCGAGAAGGGAGAGACAGATGTCGGTGTCAACTCATGAGAGCCTCCCACACCATCTTGTCGGCTCTTGCGAATCGACGCAAATCGACTCTAAATCGACGCTAACCGACGCTAAATCGACGCTGATCGACGCTAGCCGGCGCTAAATCGGCGCTATCTCATCGACTGACAGACGCGAATCGACGCTAAAAGCGGAATTACGAGGGTATACCAGGCTCCCATGATTTGCGACCGAAAAAGACAGAGAGATAGACACACACACTCACACACACACAAAACAAAAAAAGCCGCACTTTTTCTGTGACACTGAAGGTCTCGGCCATCCTTCCTCAAAGTCCAACCCTGGACTTGTCCCAGAACGCGCAAATGACTCCAGAGCAGGATCCTGTTTGAAGGGGCCCTGGGACACACAAAGAAATACACACAAATAAAAAAAAAACATATTGTCCTACATTTTCTGGGTTTTGTCTTCCCCCCCCCAATTCCAATATTTTCCCATATTTTCCTGAGAGTCGACGATTCATTGTGTCTGTGTGTTTTTGTTTCCCTCCTGACTGTTGACGAGGGCCCTCCAAAAGAAGGCCAACAAGAACAGCCCGTAGTTCCGACGCAGCCGCGAGCCCCGACCTCGAAAAGCCACACGGAGGAGAGGGCTGCAGGCAAGGCGCCCCCGTGATGGTTTCCGCCATGTCCGCTTCCCCTTGGAGGCCTCCTTCATCTCCTCCTCCTCCTCCTCCTCCTCCTCCTCCTCCTCCTCCTCCTCCTCCTCCTCCTCCTCCCTCCTCTCCTCCTCCTCCTCCTCCTCCTCCTCCTCCTCCTCCTCCTCCTCCTCCTCCTCCTCCTCCTCCTCCTCCTCCTCCTCCTCCTCCTCCTCCTCCTCCTCCCCTCCTCCTCCTCCTCCTCCTCCTCCTCCTCTCCTCCTCCTCCTCCTCCTCCTCCTCCTCCTCCTCCTCCTCCTCCTCCTCCTCCTCCTCCTCCTCCTCCTCCTCCTCCTCCTCCTCCTCCTCCGCCTCCTCCTCCTCCTCCTCCTCCTCCTCCTCCTCCTCCTCCTTCCTCCTCTCCTCCTCCTCCTCCCTCCTCCCCTCCCTCCTCCTCCTCCTCCTCCTCCTCCTCCTCCTCCTCCTCCTCCTCCTCCTCCTCCTCCCTCCTCCCTCCTCTCCATCCTCTCCTCCTCCTCCTCCTCCTCCTCCTCCTCCTCCTCCTCCTCCTCCTCCTCCTCCTCCTCCTCCTCCTCCTCCTCCTCCTCCTCCTCCTCCTCCTCCTCCTCCTCCTCCTCCTCCTCCTCTCCTCCCTCCTCCTCCTCCTCCCTCCTCCTCCTCCTCCTCCTCCTCCCCCCTCCTCCTTCCTCCGCCTCCTCCTCCTCCTCCTCCTCCTCCTCCTCCTCCTCCTCCATCTCCTCCTCCTCCTCCTCCACCCCTCCTCCTCCTCCTCCTCCTCCACCTCCTCCTCCTCCTCTTCCTCCTCCTGCTCCTCCTCCTCTCTCCTCCTCCTCCTCCCTCTTCCTCCTCCTCCTCCTCCAACTCCTCCTCCTCCTCCTCCTCCTCCTGCCCCCCCCCCCTCCTCCTCCTCGTCCTCCTCCTCCTCCTCCTCCTCCTCCTCCTCCTCCTCCTCCTCCTCCTCCTCCTCCTCCTCCTCCTCCTCCTCCTCCTCCTCCTCCTCCTCCTCCTCCTCCTCCTCGGGTCGCCACCCTGGAGCCGCCCAGGGAGGCAGGTCAAGTCAGGTGCAGTCCAAGAGCCTATGCAGGCCCCTCGATACGCTTCTGTTGCTCCCGTCGAATTTCAGAGCCACATCCCAGAAATGATTTCGAGCACCCAGAAAAGTGTCGAAAGAGTGTCGAACTAATGTCGAAACAGTGTCGGACGAGTGTGTCCCAGGGCCCGACGAATGAAAACCCTCGAGTTTTGGAGTTTTTTTGGTGCTCGAAATTCTTTCATGTGATAAATGCTAAAGAAGGCTGGGACATCATAACGCTACGTAAGCAAAGAGGGAAAGCGTGAGACGATGGGGCAACAAAAAACAAAAACGAGAAACCGAGCATGCAATATATAATTGGCGGATACGGCAACAATAAAACAACGATCGTACGCATACACACATACATCATGACAGAAACCCCTCCACAACGTCGAGGAATGACGGCCCTTGAGACCCAACCCTCGCGCGCGAGGGGGCCAACGACGAGGCGGCCACGACCCGTGACAAGTCAGCCGAGCCCAAATCACACGCGGTCCGACACCGAGCGGCGCTGGAAGGACGCAGACGCACACGAAAGGACACTGAGGGGCACGGACGGACGCAGACAGACACAAGAAGACACAAACAGACACGGGCAGACTCACACTCAGCTCGGCGGCGAGTTGCGCGACATCCTCGCTGCTTCCGCAGCACTAGACTGGACCGCCTAGCCCAGCGGCAGCAGTGACACAGGGGATCTGAGAAAGGACAGCTCAGGCAAGAGAGATAGGCAGCGGAGCCCCGCACTCGCCAGGAGGTTCCTGCAGGATGGGGCTGGCATTTTTTTGCGTCGGCGGCTGGGCAGAGTGACTGCGCTGGCGGATGGAGCAAATGCAGGACATACAAACGCCAGTTAAGCCGCGATGCACGTGAAGAAGAGTGGGCACGCCCGGCGCGGGAAGGAGGGATTCAGAGGCCGGGCCCGCTTCGAGCGGGGCCCAGCGGCGGCGGGGCAGCGCCGGGGCGGCAGGGCGGCGGCCGCGGGGCAGCCGGGGAGGGCGGCAGCCAGAGGCAGCCACGCGAGGCGGGGGGGAAAGAGGCCCAGGCAGTGCCGGGGATGGGCAGCACAGCGGGGCGGCTGAGCACTGAGATCACACACACACACACACAGTTTGGCGCTCGCGGCCTCGCGCGCGGCGACGAGGCGGAGAAGGTCCCCAAAATCGAGAAGCGCGCGCGGCTGGCCCCTCGGAAGAAGAGCAGGGATCCAGCTGGATCGGCCATGTCATGCGCATACCCGAGCGTGGGCAGCGGGGGTGCAGCGGGAGCAGTGAAGACCCCGTGGGCAGCGAGAGGGCACGCACTGTGGCTGGAGGCCAGGGCGAGAGGCAGGTAAGGCGGGGCAGCGAAAGCGAAGGCAGCAGGCCGACTCGGGGCCGCCAAAGGTCAGGCGACCAGGCGGCCTGCCGAGACGAGCCGTGCTGCAGCGCGGCGCAGCGGGGGGAAAGCCGAGAAGCCCAGCCCACAAGGGGCGCAGCGAGGGCAGCAGCCACGGACAAGCCGAGTCGCGGCAGAGAGAAGAAAGGGAGGCACCGCAGGCTATACGAGGAAGAGTGGCGCAAGAGGCAGCGCCCAGGTAGCAGAAGAGCCCACAGAGGGGGCGCTGGAGGGTGCAAGATCGCAGCGTGGCGCCAGGAACAGTGGGAGCGAGGGACCACTGCCGGAACAGGGCGGTCCCCCTCCGCGTACCAGGGAGGGTCTCCTTCCACTAGGTGGGTGGGGATAACGTCGTCCTCCTCCTCCTCCTCCTCCTCCTCCTCCTCCTCCTCCTCCTCCTCCTCCTCCTCCTCCTCCCAGCCCCCAGTGTGACCGCCAGCGCGCTACCAGCCGGAGCGGTGTGGCCGGGTGGGGGGCTGGGCCGAGACAGGTCGCGGGAGCCAGGCTCCTCGGCCAGCACCGCGGGCGGGGCAGAGGCTGCCCAAGTGGCGGGGACGCTCAAGGAGAAACTGCTGAGCGGCTCCGCCGTGTAGCGGTCAGGATCGGGTTGCGGTTCACCGACCAAGTCTGGGCCGCTTGCAAGCGTTCAGTCGCGCCAGGCGAGGCTGGCTTGGAGCGCAGCCGGGGCCCCATCAGCATGCATGGAGTCGATGCGGTCGACGAGGTCCAGCCGGCCGCCCTCTTCGGCTGAGGCCTCGTAGGCTACGTCGTAGGCGGGAGGTTGTGAGGGAGCAAGTGCGCGTCGTTTGGGTGGGGGTGCGCCGTCGGCCGACGACGAGCGTGCTCAGCCCTGGGACGCACCCGCGCTGCCCCGATCAACCCAGGGCCAAGACCGTTGGGCGTGGGAAAGGGGAGGACGGGGCCGCGAGTGAGGGGCCTGTTTTCCACCACCACCAGCATCAGTTGGAGGGGGGAAGGAGGTGGAGGACGAGGAGGTGGAGGACGAGGAGGTGGAGGGCGAGGACGAGGAGGAGGAGGAGGAGGAGGAGGAGGAGGAGGAGGAGGAACCCCTCCCCCTCCAACTCATGGTGGTGGTGGTGGAAAACAGGCCCATCAGCGAAGTGTGCGCAGCAGCCCTGGGGAGCGTCGAGGGCCGTGCAGGGGCACGCGACCGTCCCCGCGGCA